TTTAGTCTTAAATTTGCATGGTGTCTTTGGGGCGGGGGGGGGGGGGGTAAGTATAGAAGGAGAGGGGTTGGGCTTGTACTTATGATTGTTGGAGTTTGATTTGAGATTGGTGCCTGAAGATTGTTAAAATCTACATTCTCTTAGATTACCTTTTGTCAACATTAAATGCCTTCTTGACCTCTTCTTGGGTGGAGCAAAGGTCAACTTCCATTGCATCCCTCAACATAGGTATTAATATCAAATTACCTTAGCTGTGGTTTCGTTGGATTTGATGAGGTTGTACGAGGTGTAATGTTCCTTTGCAGGCTGTTGGATATTGGCTGTGTTAGGAGGGCTGTCGAGTGCATGAGTGTTCTAGGCTTTTGGTAATAAATGAGTGTAGTAAATTGGTATGGCTTAAGGTCTGATGGTCAGTGTCCGATAGGTTTTGTGCTGGAGTTGATTGGGATTGTACCCGTGTCATTTTGGTCATTTTCCAGCACATTTAATGCCTTGAATTGATTACTGTTGCTTTTGTCTATGTTTTTGTGCTATTATCCAGTGTGTTTTGTTGTGTATCCTTCTTCTAAATTCCTGCCGTGTGAGACGTTTGGCGACGTTTGCGCTCCTGGGTTCATCGTGTAGCTTCTGTTCATTTGGCATTTTTGGTTCCAGTTTTGAATGTTCCAGTTTGGACTGTCTTTGTGGAGGGTGAATTTGCCTTTCTATTTGGTCGTGTCTAGCCTTAGTTCTTTTGTGTGAACTATGTCCAATGATCTATTTCTTTCGTTAGGGATTCAATCCCATCGTCCTTTTTTTGAGTCCCTTTTACTGCATTAGACATTGAGTTCGATGGTTGAGGGCAGTTGGTTGGGGTATGACCCAATCTGCCACAAAAAGGTGCACAGCATGTTAAAAGCCCTCATAAGCAATCCTTTGATAATGTCGTCTCCAATTATAACATGAGTTTTTAGAGGCTTTCTATAGGTGCTAAATACAAACTCTCGCGTATTTGCCCCTAGTGGCTGAAGCAGTACATGCCATCGATCCTGAGTAGCTTCCCTAATTTAGATCCTATTTTGTGAAGTATTTCATAGGTATAGTCATAAAATTTCGTTGGTAGTTCTGGTAGTCTGGCCCAGATGGCTGAGTAGGTTTGCGAGGCTGTTGACGCTACAAACTTTGGTTCCCATTTTCGGACAGTGAGAAACTGGTTTCCTATGAACCAAGGTCGCCCATGGAGAGCTTTGTCGTAGTTTTCTGAGTTTATGAACTTAATTAGGTAGTAGTCGTTTCCTAGATCTATGAGGGTGATGTTCTCCGTTGGTTTCCATATGGCCATTATTTTGTTTTGTAAGAATGCATAGCTTACCTTCCTACCAAAGAGTTTAATAATAACAGCATTGGTCCAGTTATTGTAAATCCTTTCCTTGTCTGCGTGTGTTATGGGGATGAAATTGTCGGATTCGTATTGGTTCTCAGTTTCATCAGAAGTGTCATGGCCCTCCATAGACTTTTGCACTGTTATTTGATTTTGGTGTTGTGCTTCAGCCAGATTTCCTTTCAATTTGAGCAAAAAGGAGCTTGTTTGGTCATGGTGTTCCTTAGCTAAAGTCTTAGTGTTAAGAATGTTGGTAGATTCGTTAGGTTGATCTTGGTCCATCTCCATTACTAAGTTCTTATTAGTAGTTCATGTGTTCTTGTTTCTTGTATGGTGAAAGGGATTTGGTGAAGGGCAGAGTTTTTGTTCCCAGAGAGAAGCAAGAGCTTCTCTTTCTAACTTCCCTTCATCAGGACTACAACTGCACTTATTTGTGTCAAATAATGAGGGAAGCCTATGTAATTTTAAAATCCACAATGGTTGCTATGCGTAATTTAATTAACAAACCAAGGGCGGTTACTGTTACTTTCTCAAAACCTAATCCTTGTCAAAAACCCGCATCACACTCCTACGCCACGCGTCACTTATCCATCTTCCATTATCATTAGGATAAATCTGTACCGTTAAATCACTCCGTCTTCCCCTATATAAACACCACCACCCATTCCCCTTTGCGTCCGTCACCACAACACAAAATTCAGAGGCTCACGCAAAAACTACCGATCGAGATTTCTAGAGAGAGAAAATCGAAGAATTCAAAAAAGGAGAATAATCTTCAAAAAAAATTATATCTCCATTCAAGCAACGAATCGGATTCCAAAAATTAGGTTCGATTACCTAAAAAAACTCAATTCGCCAAAAAAAAGAAGTCCGAAAATCTCTAATTTTTTAAATCTTCGGAGGTTTTTTCTTAGCGATAATTTGAGGAGTAACTGTTCCGATTTGATTTACGATCTGTTCGTTTGTTTGTTTATTTATTTATTTACTTTTGGTTAGGTTTTTGGTGGTTTTTGGAGTAAAATGAACGAGCAAGGAAAAATGATGAATCAACAACAACAGAGGATGAGTATGAGTCAAAACCAAATGCTAAGTATGAGTCAACAACCTCAGATCTTAAATCCACAGCTTCAACAACAGCAACAGGTAAACAATTACAAATTCAACTTTAATTACACGTATAATTATATAAATACGAGTATGGCTATGAATAAGCCGCCGTTGATGATGCAGCAGCCGCCACAGATGATGAATCGGAACTACAGGATGTGGCCACAGCAGCCTCTGCCTCCGCCGTCAGTCGACCAGTTGAAATTTCAAAACCCTAACCCCAATATGAAGCAATTTGTTACTGGAAAGCAGCATTCCAAGCCCTTGGGACCTCGGAATAATTGGAAGGGTAAAAAGGTAAATAAGAAGGAACAGAGAATGGATGCTGCAAGGCGGAACGAGATTATAGGAAGTAGCGGTAGTAGTACCAATGCTCAAGGTGGTGGATATAAGCCGCCTACATTAAATGACTTGCAACAGCAAAACCGATTGAAGGCCCGGAGATTTTTCCCTAAGAAGAAATTTTATCATAACAATAATAATAACATGAATGCACCTTATGCGCCTCGGAACACATCTTCATATATCATTAGGGCGAAAAAAAGTGGTGGTATTGCTTCTTTGGTGTCCCCTTGCCCCGTGACTCCGGCTGTGCTGCCGACCCCTATTTTCTCCCCATCGAGGGAGGTGTTAGTAGATATGGCTAAAGAGGAGTGGGGAGTGGATGGGTACGGATCAATGAATGGGTTGATTAGGCTGAGGTCACCGGGTCATGAGGTTGAAGGACACGACGATGAGGAAGAAGAGGAGGGAGGATCGAGTGAGAGTGATGTGGAAGAACATGTGGAAGTGGAGAGGCGGTTGGATCATGATTTGAGCAGGTTTGAGATGATTTACCCGAACTACAGCGGGATGGAGTATAACAATGTGTTGGGAAACCGTGTGGATGATCAGGATACGCATATTGCTCAGTTGGAGGAAGAGAACTTGATTTTGAAGGACAGGTTGTTCTTGATGGAGAGGGAGTTGGGTGATTTGAGGAGGAGGTTGCAAAGTCTTGAGAGGAGGGGTCGTGGATGCGAGGAGATGACCGAGGAGGTAGTGGAGAATGAGTCTGAGAGTGAGAGTCATGAGGATGGCCATTCTTTGGAGGATAACAATGTTGAACTGGTTGAAGGGCACATGGAAGGAGTTGGAAATGTGAAAGGGAAGAAAGAAGATAGGATTGAGGATGACGTTGGATTGGCAGAAAATGAGGTGAAAGTTGGAGAAGAAGGTGAAAAGGCTAATCGTAATGGGAACAATGAAGCTGTTGAAAAGGAATCTGATAAAGTAGGAAAAGAAGATGAAGAAGTTGATGGCAATATGATGGATGAAGCTTTTGAAAAGGAAATAATTGCTGATGATGGAAGCAAGAGTGAAGTGAACGACGATACGGATCTGAAAACTGGGAATGAGGTTCAGTTCACTCAATTAAACAAGAACATTGAAAACAAGGTTCAGGGATTAGATAATGCAAGTTTTGGAGATGTTAAAATGGAGGAGGCTTTTAGAGTGGATGTTGAAGCTGTTTCCCAGACCAAGAAGGAAGATGAATTGCCAGTAAATGAATGAATGATAGGAAGAGTGTTTACGATGGTTACTTGTCTAAAGTTTCCATCGTCAATGTAAGTCTCTTCTCTGAGAAGTTCTCATGCTAACTCGTGTCTTTTTTGTCACCATTCTGGGTATACCTCTTTTGTAGTACATAGTTTTAGCCTCCTTTTTACAGTGGAAAAAATTCTGTCTGTTGTGAGTTCGACCTTATAAAGTGCTAATGTGTAGTATTCTTCTTTAGATGTTGGCAGCTGTTTGTAGTAGGGAAGTCTGGGTGTTTAGATAGGTTTGAAATAGTGTTCGGTCTGACAGAGATACAATTATGTAATAATCTCTTTTTTAGGTGAATTGGGTATTTTCATATAAATCATGGCATGTTTTCTTATTGGTTTAATCTGGGTATTTGGCTTATGGTGTCACACGGATTGCATGTGTTACACCCATGTGATTGGCGTTTGTTTTAGAAGACATGCTTGCCTGTTGCCATATAAGTTGTTGACTTGTGATAGCTGTTTACCCAGAACATTGCCCTTTGGGTGGTCCGATACTTTTATTCCTCTTAGGTTAGGGCTATCAACTTACTTTTTTCCATGCAATTGTGATGTCTGATATTTTAAAGCATACTTTCTTTCTACAAGGAACTAATTTGAGTTTCTTTCTGTAGCAAATAAGTGGATGGTTTGTCTACAGCACATAATTTGGTGTATGTTTGCTCTCTAAAATCTGAACTGTAAACCTTCGACAAGATGTTATTAGTATCATATAATAAAGCATCTGTGCCTACTGATGCTTAAGTTGGAATAGTTGGTAATCAACTTTAGCCTGAGGTTGGGTGAAAGTTTTGTTCTTTTGCTCTCTTTTTCTTTTTCTTTTTCTAATTGGGCTCTGCATGATCTGTTATTAGGGATTCAGTTTATCTCCCTGTTAAAGAAAATCGTTTTATATCCATCTGCTTACTAGCCAATACATTCTTCACTGTTTGTTTCATCTATACCGTTGTTGACCACTGACAGTTGAAGCTGAAAGAGACAGAGAAGATTTGTGTTTAACTTTCACGCTCTTGATGCATTCTTGCATCAATGCGCATAGTGATGGCATTCTTATTTATCTCCCGTGAATACGTGGTTTTTCTCTTTGTGCAACACCAGCACTACCAATCATTCAGCAGGAGAAAAAGGGTTTTGATATAGCTCTGTTTAATTAGACCTCCTTGTTTCCTAGTAACGATCAAGTATTATTTGTTTCTAAATGTTGCAACCACTTTCACTTGTTGGAATGAGTAAGTCTTCCATGTTTTGGTGCCTCCATTTCTTTAAAGGTAGTATACCTTCTGCTCCTTTCTGCATTTGCTGGAATAGCTGCTGGATTTATCATGAGGGTGCTAGCTGATGGCTAGACTGGTGAGGGGGATACTTCCTTATTCTAGCTCCTTTATATATTTATTTATTTATATTTGGTTTACCACTGAAGGCCTAATCTCTTGGTTGGGATCAACCCCTATTCTCGAGATGTTTATTTATCCTTTAGTTGCCACTTCGCCCTCATTCTTTTGCTTGACTAAAGATAAGTGATGTGATTTATTATGTTCTGTTGTATGGTAATGGATGGGATCTTCTATTGCCGGTGGCAGAACAGCAGGGGCAGTGGTGATGTTACTTGTCCTCTTCTACATTTTGTTGAGTTTACCACAGAACAAGTATGGTGCTGCGCCATTTGGTATTATTTCGGAACTGAGAAGATTTGAACACTGTTTAGTGTTACAGTAGGTAGTGATGCAGCTAAGTTCTTAGTGGTGTCATCTGTTCGTTTGCGTTTTGTTGCATTAGGCCATTTCTTTCATTTCTTTTAGGTGCTTCGTCTGCATTGAACTTTGTTGTGTGGGACTTTGACTCCTGCTTTATTTCTATATATTTTGTCTGATAAGAAATACAACATGCTAAATAGATACTTCCTCAGAGTTCTTTGGTCTGGAAATCTTTTTAAAAAAAGGTTCTTCAGTCTGGAAATGGTGTGAAACTCGATCACCTGCTAATATTAGATCATCGGTTTTCATGGAATTTGTAGTGCTGCTCTCAGAGGTAGAAGCTTTCAAAGGAAGTGTTTCTTAGCTACTCATGTCGTCTTAGCATTGTTGCTTCTCTTGCATATATCTGACTCCTTAGAGCATCTCCAGCAAATCCCCTATTTCTCCTAAATGCGGTTATTATTTTTATTATTTAACTCTTTTAAGTTATTTTTTTATATATACCTAATTATATTTATGTTATAATTTTATAATATTAATTTTATTAATTTTACATCTTAACTTTGACGTATAAATTTGATAAATTAATTTTCGTGCATTTATTATTTTTATGTAATTGTATTATATGTTATAATTGTACAAAAAATATCATCTCAAAAAATGAATGATGCAAATATAAAACTTATGGTATAAAATAATTTTATATTAAAATTATATGTGATGAATATATAAAAAAGAAAAAAAGATAGAAGTTCTTTAATTGAATAAGAAAATAAAATTTAAATAAAAGATAATTATATAATATTAAAGAGAAGAGTATAAAATGGAATATTTTTTTTTGGAGTAAAAAATGTAGTAATGGTTGGAGTAGCTTTACTCCATTTTGGAGGAGAAAATGGAGGCAAGGGTTGGAGATGGCCGCCTTGCCTCTTGTTTCCCTCTTATTGCAATGTCTGAGCTACTGTTTACTGGCCAAGGGTGATCTATTTTCGTTGGTTCTGAGGTTCGCGTGGTTAGAGGCCTTCTGCATAGCCATACTGTCTACAGAGTAACTTTCAATCATGATATCTGGATTAATAATGGTCTGAAGCGGGTTGACTTTGGATTTTCTAGTCCTTTTCATCAATTATAAGATATTTTTTAATGTGTAGTTTAAAAAGAAAACATGGTTTATAGTAATGGAAAAAGAATAAAATGTTATCAAACAATGAAGAAGAAGAGTATTGCAGAAAAAAGGAGAGAGAGAATTCTTATTGAGTTTTGGGATGAATTACAATGGAATAGAGCCATCTATTTATAGGGAGAGAGTGGCTTAGCCACCAAGTAATAAACCCTAGAATCTTTCTAAATATAGACATTCATCATAAATACAATTCTATTTATAACACTTCCCCTTGAATGTCTATTCAACAGATAATGTACCTCGTTAAAACCTTAACTAAAATAAAACCCAGTGGAAAAAAAATTCTAGAGAAGGAAAAAAAGTACACATATCTAACAATACGTCTTTTGGTTGCCTCGTTAAAAACCTTACAAGGAAAACCCAATGAGATAAAACCTTGTAAGGGAAAAAGAGTACAACGCGTATTAACTCCCCCTGATGAGAGCATCAATTTACATCTTTAAGCTTTTGCATTCCAATCTTGTGCACCATCTTCCAGAGATCGTTGGTAGAGATTTGATAAACAAATCAGCTATATTAACTTGAATGAATATATCGCATCTTGAAATCATCATTCTTGATAAAGATATAATGTCTTCATAAACTGCCGTGGAATGGCCTTTTCAATATCTCCATAGAGGTATTTTCGCTATTACATTATCATGCTTATAGTTATAGCAAGATACATATGTGCACAAATTGCACTGAGGAAGTGGTACTTCAAGATTGCTTCAAGCAACTTAAATCCTTCATGGATTGTCATATAAGTTAAGTCATATAAGCTATATAATAGACTTTAGATGCATATCAAGTTTTCATGTCATGCTAGACATATAAGATATCGAAAACTGATTGCACATACCATTGACTGTATACTTTCAAGTGTTTGAACTGAAGGTTCAAAACTATATGTCTTTCGTATGAAACAAATTCTATTCGAATTGTGTCTCTTTCATTTGGCCAGTATTTTTGTGTCTATATTCGACAGACTTAAGATCCTCATCTACACTTAGCGCTAACATAGATGTCGTCGACGAACATTTTATATCGGTTCCAGCTTTATTTTCATAAAGACATGACATAGAGATCTCTTCATTCATATTTTCAGGTACCTGAATCTCTCCTGAGATTTTATGAAGTGTTATGTCATGTGATCTTCTAGATCACTTGCTTCCTTTATTATGATCATTTTGATCATTTGCTCATCTTCTTTATTAAGAAGTTTATTTGAAATCGATTTGTCTATACGCTTTAAGCGTACCATAGACGTTGTCCTTCTAGGACTTAATAAGAGCATTTGCAATGAGGATATAGTTACTTTCTTTGGGCCAGCAAATGCGTCTGGCATGCTTTGCAATATATTGCAAATGAATTATCCTTTTATGAACTTTAAGTTCATATTATCTTATTCGAGGATCTAGATGTACAAATGATAATTCGTTCCACGTAACTTTTTCTCAACTGTTTATCATGTCTCCCCCTAATGTTAGAAAAACTAAATTGTTTCCTCAACTTTAAGAACTCATCTTTGTGCGTTATGGTGTTAATTAAAATATACACCGCACGTCAATAATAATAAGATGAAATTATTTGGTTCCTGACCCTGAACCACTTATGAGGGGAGAAAATAATATACTTTCGTATATAGCGTATATCAAACTGATATATATAACTTTGTTCTCATAAGACATTATATAGCTATTAAGTAGAGGCGCTTAATTTCTTATTTTACTAAACCAATTGTGATGTAAACCAACTTATCAAGATGAACTTGTTGAATAGAAAATCTGGAAATTATGCTCGAAATTAAATTATTGAGCAAGTTACCTCGCAAACACCATGTTGCGGGTTAATAATAATCGCACATGTAACCATCTCATAGATGCATCTTATGTGGTATACATGGCAAGTGAATGGACCCATATTCACCTTTGATATTTTCAGCATTCATGGGATTCAATCCCGATTTTAGTTGGTATATTAATTAATGAGAACATGTAACATAAGATAATTCGTAAAGAACTTTCTAGTTCTTTAATATTTACCCATGTGAATTCTCTTTTATTTTTGCACATCATACTTATATTAATATGGGTAAACCAATTATGCCGACTGAATAAATTATCAATATTGATAAACTTCAGATTTACGCCATGACGTGTGCAATTATCAATAAACTCCAAGTTTATTATGATATGAGTTTTTATATCAATAAATATCCACTTTATTGTGGTATTCTTTTATTTGTGTAGTACAAACTGGAGAATAAAGCGGGTAGCTTTTCACATACATATTATCTAGCTACAAGTTATAGTAATAGAAGATATTAAATCTTTCCTTTATTTATAGTCTCAATATAATCAACCGCTTTCGCGTATACTTTGAAAACTGAATAAGTTTCTTTGAGACTTACTACAACACAATACCTTATTGGTAATCAATTGTGTTTCTCCAAAATAGTATAATTGGCTCTTGCAGAGTTCTCAAT